TTCATCCACATAATTTATGCTGCGCCCAAAGCTAATTTGTTGAACACAAATATCGCTCTCCCAGTTTTGGGCGTAACAGGGGGCCAATTAATGTCGATCAGTTAATGCCGGCCAAATGATCAGATGATCAACACCTCATGAATAGTGCGATTAAAAAAAATCTTCTAGAAAACATGATTATGGTAATTCGGAAAACAAGCGTTTCAATTAAGTGGTGTTTTTTAAAGCATATTCTTGTGTACATCTATTTCCCAGCAGTTTACTTAATGTTCAAACTACGTTCGACCAATCAAATTTAATCACGTGTAAACAATTTCTTGCAATTTTTTTTTTTTTTTGAACTTTGAGCGAAGTTTTAACGATACTGCCTGACCAAAACTTGATGAATTTTTTTTATTTTAATTTTATACATCCATTGAATTAAAATAAAAAAAAAAATACATCGAATTTAGCAGGTAACTATCGAGAAAACTTCATTCAAAAATTTTAAAAGAATCAGTTCCTTCGATTAGTAAATTTTGGTTTTGAATTTTTTTTAAAACTTCGAGCAAATTTCTCAATAACACCTGACAAAATCGATTAAAACACTTTTTATTTTAATTCTGCACATTCATTAAATTAAAATAAACATTTTCATCGAGTAGCTGCCGAGAAAACGTTTCTTAAAGTTAAAAAAAAATAGGTCGCGTTTATCAGTAAATGCTTTTGAGTTTTTAAAACTTCGAGGTTTTCTCGATAAATACCTGACCAACAACGATAAATTTTTTTATTTTAATTCTATTAATATGTAGAATTAAAATAAAAAATTTTTATCGGATTTTGGTCAGGTAGTTATCAAGAAAATTTCGCTCAAAGTTTAGAAATATCTGTCCCGTCGATTAGTAAACTAGTTAGATTTTAAGCGAAATTTTCTTACTAAATTCGATAATTTTATTTATTTTATCTTATTTTATTTTATTTTATTTTTACATATTAATAGAATTAACAAAAAATTTCATTGAATTTGGTCAGATGGATGTCGAGAAAACTTTATTCAAAGTTTAGAACAAGTTTCGTCTAAGTACTTAAAATTTTTTTAAAACTTTGACCGAATTTTCTCGATAATTACCCAACTAAATTCGAGGGAAAATCTGTTATTTTAATTCAACATTTTAATAGAATTAAAATAAAAAAATTTATCAAATTTGGTCAAATGGTTGTCGAGAAAACTCGCTTAAAGTTTAAAAAGAATCTGTCCTGTATATCATATAAGTGTTTCTAAATCTTTTAAAACTTTAAGCGAAGTTTTCCTCGGCAGCCATCTGACCAAATTCGATAAAATTTTTTTTTAATTCTACAAATGGTTAGAATTAAAATAAAAACAAAAATCCATCGTTATGATGACCCGTGATTAATTTTGATTGGTCAAACATGCTTAGATCGTAGATCATAAATGAACATTACGTAAGCTGCTGGGTAAATAGACACGCGCATATTCGTTGTTAGAGACAAATAAACGTAGATTATCGAAAATGAATAAAATTTTTATTTTTTTACGGGAAGCCTTATGGAATACTATAAAATATTTATTTTTTATGTTTTATACTAATTTTTTATTTGTTCACAGTCTGTTTATACTGTGCCTCTTTTGCATGAAATCCCTTTTGATTTTTAACCCTGTCGTCTGATGGTTTTGGACAACACTTGTCCCGGAAAGTGATTGGACAATATGGTCAAATTTTGGTTCAGAAATCCACCAGTTTCACTTTCGGGAGGCCTCTTGGTTGAAGTTCTTGAGGGCTCAAATATGCATTTCGTTTTAGTAGCAGATATTCGTTCCACGGACCACTAATCTCGCTTTAGTCTTAATAATTCCAGGCATATCGTGACTAAAACGGAAAATATGATACTTTTGAATGGCAGGTGGTTTTCGATATAGTGCATTAAGTGCAATGATCCAATCGCAAAATGGTCCTATCTGGTCTTCCAGATTTACTGCAATAATATTTTTTTCACTCCTGTCGATCGCATCAGATAGTTGATCAATGCACCAGATTTCGGACCTAACGTACTCTCGCTTTGTTAGGCCAAAGTCATGATCACCAGAGTTTTATTGCGGTCTTAGCTTGAAAACGAAATTCAATTGTTTGAAACAATCGAGTATCGGTATCGCATGCCCAAGGGAGATACCAAAGAAGGTATGAATTTTTATTTTGACCACTGCAGTTACCAGCCTACAATCGAATTTCTTTTGCATCACCTACGGCGGAAGTAAGAAATAGATGCACTCACTATTGAAGCAATTTCGGTTCTCCTTTTGATGCTTTATTTTCAGAATAAATTGCATGCTATCTATGCCTTCATCAACTAGGCCAAAATTGATGAGTGTTTAATAACAACAATATAATACCATCTTCCAGGTTCCTATGGGTCATAAGGCATCTTTACATTTTGAGCAAAATCAAAAGAAAAAGTTCGAAAAGATCTATCACTATCTTTAGCGGTTTGTACATCTTTTTCATAAGCTTTTCTCATTATCAGATGATCTAATACGTATGATGCCAACTGTTCGTCAAGATCTTCACTTGTATCATTATCATATTCCTTAACTGCACGCTTAAATATAGTACACTCATCACACACGTCCTTAGACTCTTTTCTTATTATAATTTTATTAAGCTCAGTGTCGCGCTTCCATACCTGATGAAAAGAGTGATAGCATCTGTAGTACTCCAATCACTTGATTCCGATTCTGAATCTTCAAGATCAAAGCAATGATCTCTTCATCATTTACTGTCCATTGTTGAATTAAAGAGAAATAGGAGACAAAGAAATTATAGTTGTGGACTATACGATATAAATGGGTCAAAAAATAGTTGAGTTTAAACAATTGGTTATAGGTACGGATTTTGTATGTTTATTTATTACTTTCATGATATTAAGTACTATTATATATTCTTTACTAATACAAGTATCGTTGGATCGTTATGCTTCGCTAAATCATTATGCTTTGCTGAATCAATAATATTATTCAGCGATGCACATAGATTCGACGATACATAGTATGCTTCTCCGAATCCATATGTATCATTGAATCTATATGCATCGCTTGGGTATATGAATCACTGAATTAATACTCCGCTAAATCAAATCAAATTTTGAATTTGAATCAATATTTGAAATTTTTGATCAAATTATTTAAAATTTTGATCAAATAATTTCAAATATTTGATTCAGATTCAAAATTCGATTTGATTTTGTGGAGTACTACACTGAATCACCGAATTTATATTAATGATACTTCCATTAATCAGTACACATTTAGGTTAAGATTATGGTCGATCACACTATAACTCATTACTTTATAGCATTAGCCATAATGTTCCGCATGGGCCGGGCTGAGCCGGGTATTTCAAAATCCAGATCCAGCCCATATTTAATTGAATAGATCCAAACCCAGCCCATGACCACATGGTACAATCCATGGATCCAAATAGCACAAACTGTAAACAGCTTAGTTTTAAATTAAGCTTGGA